ACGAGCACACACATAGAAAGAAAGAGAGAAAGACAACAGCTGTCAAACACTCACTCATTTTCGTATTACCATCATGATAGGTGATAAGCACATCATTCGTTTTCATCGATGCTTTAACAACATCATTAGTAATCAGTGTTATAAATTTAGTAAATAAATAAATGTGAATGATTTTTTAGTTGTAATACTTTCTTTCATTTGCTTAGCATAGTCAATAAGATGAGAATATGGGTATGAGTAGCTAGCCTTACCAAAGATGCTTTTTTCATCGAGACTTACAAAGTCACATCCAACGATATTCACACTTTCCTAAACGTGTCAAATTTTAATTCAGATGACGAAATGTGTCGATGAGTAAAATTCTCCATTGAAACGTTTAAACAAAGACGTCTATAATTTTTGTTACTTGACCTCCCTCATCTCTTGATAAGCAAGAGCTAGTGTTGATCGATTGAGTTTGTGACTGAGTTTGCATGAAAGACTGTTGATTGTGTGCGTATATTTAGACATCATCATTATTGATCAAAAAAATAAAAGAGTAGATATTAAGAGTAATTATATTTATTTCAAACTATAGAAAAAAATAAGAACAATTGAGATCGAATATTATTGTTCCCTTGTAAATAATTATTGGAATGAATAATAAAAATTCAAAGATATAAGATGGATTACCAAAAATGACGAATATATATTGTATGAAAAAACGGTAACATATATCCCAAATATAAATTAAGTAATTTTAAAGTATGACTTGTTTGCAAGTTGATCTGACAGAAAATATATTATCTCATTGATTCAGCACTATGATACCTTATAATAACGGTTAACAATAATTATTAAATTCAGATTAGGTCAATTGATAATCTAACTGAATATGATTTGAATTATTTTAGATTATATACATCATATTAGTCGTACAGCTTGGGTAGACAAAGCGATCAGATTTTTAACAAAAGAAGACTCAGCTGTATTTCATGAAAACGAGAAAAAAGATTTTTTTTTCTTTCTATTATATGACATTTGTTACTACGACAGACATGTTCTAGTTGCACAGTCATATGTTAAAACAAGTCTCGTATGAATTTCTTTTGTTTTGTTCTGAAAGCTCTACTCAGATTGACGTACTTGTTCAGAAGTAAATAATAATGAACAATTTTGTATATATTTGACCAAAATTTGTAATGATTCTAATAGTTAACATATTATTTATTTTCTATTCGATGTCATTGAAGATGACCGACGACCAAATAAATAAAGAAATTTATAATAATAATGACAATACTACAAGTAAATAAACAAAAATATTTTTTCTTTACTTATTCTATTTTTTTAATTAATCGTAGGTCATCATATTATTCTAAATGATATTTAATGATTTCTGCTATTCAATCCATATCTTAATTAGAAACAAAAACGAGAACGAACGGTCTAATTAAATATAAACTTTTATTATTTATTTTCATATTTGAAATTTACAACAAGTAAACTTGAGTTTTTTTTAACTAAATCGTCGGTGTAAATTTTCTTTAAATCTACCACAGTCACACTGGCTGATTAAAATAGATCGTCTAATGGATCAAGAAGCAATGAACTTAGTTGTGTGCATGCAGCTTTCTATTTCGTGTTTCTTTCAATACGACGATACACTTATTCATTCAATGAAATAATGAAGATGGAGACATACATCAACAAGAGCATGTTAGCAACAGTAGAAGCCATCATTAACTAATAATACGTTGCCATCCATCAACCGTTTCAAATAAAGCTCAAGGCCACCACAAAGAAAAACAATAAGAACTAATAACACCATTTTAAAATTCTATTTATAAGTTTTTCGTTTTTTTTTTCTCTTTTCTATTATGAATGACGATAATGCAATTCTTTTTTTTTTCATATGTTTCGTCCTTGTTCTTCCTTACCTCATATTTGATATATGTGCATAGATTTTGCCTGTTACGTTTCGTTAGCAACACTGTTGAAATAAAAGGACGAACGATCAAGATAAGAAGCCCTTGAAGTCGATAGCAACCAGCCAAACAAAAACGAAAGTGTCAATATAAAAAGAAAAAAAACGAAATATATGTAGAGACAGAGACGAAGTATCTTTTTTTGTTGATTCCTACCGTGTGCAACGAGTATCTACATTTTCATTTATTTATGTAAATTGAATAGAAAAAACCAAATAGTTACCACTATCATCATCATTACTATAATAATGGACAAAAAAAGTCTAAAATCAATCGCTAGTGGCTCATCATCATCTACAACAACTAAGCCAAATAAATTATCCTCAGCAGCAGCAGAATCAACAACAGTAGTGAGCAGAAGTGGCACGCTTCCACGACCCGTTCATCGCGTTATAGAAAATTTTCTTTTCGTCTGGTTAGATGCAAATATTAATGAGACAAAAGAAGATTTCAAAAACTCATTAAAACAACTGCGACATCTTGGAGCATCCATTACTACATTTACAGATGCTGAAGAATGCTTCAAATTTCTCAGTGAAATTAAAAAAGAAAAAATCTTTATAATTGTGTCCGGTGCATTAGGACGGCAAGTAGCACCAGAAATGCAAGCAATGCCACAGTTGGAATCAATATATGTATTCTGTGGCAATAAATCATATCATGAAGAATGGGCCAAAACTATACCGAAGGTCAAAGGGGTTTACACTGATATTAAACCAATTTGTCAAGCACTAGAAATTGATCGAGCTATGATCTCGATTAGTTTTAATGGACTGAATCCTCTGTTCATGTATACACAATTATTAAAAGAAGCACTTTTAGAAATCGAAGATGATGATAAGAAATCTATCAAAGCCTTCGTTGATTATTATCGTGAACAGAATGATATTCCTAAAGGTCAACTTAAACAAGTTGAACGCGAATATCGTAATCATGCAGCAATATGGTGGTACACAGTCGAAACATTTATTTATTCGATGATTAATCGTGGACTTCGACAAATGGATGTTAATATAATATTTAATATGGGTTTTTTCGTTTGTCATCTACATAATCATATTGCAAAATTACATCGTGAACAAAAAGGCCACAATATTCCAACAAAATTTCAAGTCTTTCATGGACAAGGTTTGTCCATGGAAGACTTTGAAAAAATGAAAACAACCAAAGGAGGACTTAGGTCCTTCAATAATTTCCTATCAACAAGTCGTGATCGTAAGATTTCACCAGAAAACTTTGCACGACCAGCTACACAGAATCTCACCTTGGTTAGCATTCTCTTTGTCATGGCAAATGATACAGCTATTTGCTCAAACTCATCAACACCATTTGCCGAAGTAAGCAAAGTTGACTACTACAAAGATCAAGAGGAAGAAATACTTTTCACAACGCGTAAAATTTTTCGCATCGATCGTACTGAACGTGTCGAAGACAAGCATACTGATCGCTTATGGCAAGTTAATCTCAACATCATGGGAAACCTAGGTAATAGTTTTAACAAGCTCACGGCACGAGTGCGAGAAGACGTCACTTGGGTTACAGGATGGACTTGGCTCGGTTACATATTCATTAGACTACGAAAGTGTAGAAAAGCAGAACATCTTTATAAGACACTCCTCGAAAAAGCATCCACTGATAAAGAGCGATTGGATAATAATCTTCAGCTTGATAATGTGTATCATAACATGGGCGAGTACTTGAAAGAACTTTCATCGTACGAACGATCACTTGAAATCCGGAAAATAGCTCTTCTTCCAAATCATTCCGACTTGGCTGCTGTTACAGACTCCGCCTTCACATTGTGTGTTTCGTCTTTATTCTTCTTGTTTGTGTTCTTTTACCTAGATATGATATCATTCGATCGTACATCATCCTCTCTTTGTTGTGTTCATTTCTCTTTCGTTAGCCCTGGATATATGTGGGTTTGGTTGTTGGTGAAAATAGAGCCGCATCCAGACTCACAAACGTCCTCTATTATTTCAATTTTTGATTCATTTATATTTACAGACTTATTTTAAGCATTTCATTGATGATTACGAAAAGGTAAAGTTTGCTTTTTTCATCCTTTTGAAAACAGTTGTAAGATTGTTAAGTTGTTTTTTGTTTTCTTACAATACGACATGTCGATCTAAAAATAAAATGTTCTATTTTTTAGTTGTTGAAGCATACCATAGAAAGCAATCCTTGATTGTATATCTGTCAATATTTATCACGACTGTACGAGTGTTGCATATGGTTAGTAGAAAAAAGTATTTCCATTGAGTTTCTCTGTCATAGAAAATGTAAAACCATAGCTAATATGTAGAATCTCTAAAACTAATCTCAGGACCAACATGAGTCATTAAAACTGTTCGATGCAACAGGTATGTCAGTTGCCCTCTCATTACTCTTTGCTTTGACATAAGCACCTCTTTTATTTCAAATTCAAACATAATAAATCAAAAGCAAAAAACAAGAGTACACTAAGACAAAAAAAAGCACACCATATATTCCATCCCTCTTACATACAGTAACATTCCGATGATGCTTTCTTCTTTGAAAATGATGTATAGAAAGAGAAGCAAGGCGAAAAGGGAAAAAAACAAGCAAAGAATGCAATACATGTCGTAAGAATAGACAAAACAGAGCAAAACATGCGAATACATAAGAAAGAGTTACTAGTCAAATAATGGGTATCACGATCGTTGACCATGATAAAGTTCTAGTCATCTAAGAAATATGTAGGATGTGTTGGATATCGGATAGAAAAAAGAACCAGAAAAATGTATCTCGTATATTGATGGCAAGTATCCTATTTCAATTATACAATTTCATTAAGAGTATTTAAGTACGATTCTATTTAATCCACGTCTAACCATTTTGTATATTTCAAAAATTGCCGATATCCAATAACAATGATAAAATATGCAGCACCTTATTTCATTTAACAATATTGAGTAAAATGTTGAATAAGTTTAACAAGTTGAAAGAACGAATATTGATGAGTTCATAAATAGTTTAAACAAAAACATTTTATGAGTTTTATATAAAATATTATAAATATCGTTGTATTATCGTTCGAAAACTGATGAGAGACTTATGAAGTTCTTGTTTGTAAAATTTCGATGGTAATATAAATATAACAAATGTAAGCAGTGGTGGAATAAATGACATAAAATATCCAATAAGAAATAACCATGCATCATTTGTTGATTTCATACATTTTGATACAAATGAAATGATTAAACGTGGTATTCCAAGAATCACTAATATAACAGGAGCAATAAATAAATGTGTATGTTCTCGCATATTTTTTTTTAAATATTCTATATAAGTTCGATTAGTATGAATATTTGATTGTTGACGAGATATTTTTGTTATAAGAATAAAAACTGATACAAGATTTATGACAAATGGAGTCAAAAAATGAAATGTATGAATAATAGAATTGAATACTTGTAAATTCGATGGATACAATGCAATACACCATAATCGTTTATCATCTTCATTTTCTTCATCAATTAAACGTCGATAAATAGGATCATAAATATTAGTACTAATAATAAAAATCAAAAGAAAAACAATAACTATTTTAGCTATTTGTATACTGTTTTTCTTATTATAATTAGTCGCTTTTATTATTGTAACTGTTCGTTCAATCGCAACAAAAGCATTTAACCATTGATCCATATTAAGACAAACTCGTAAAAGAAAATCAAGAGATAAACATTGAATTTGTAGAAATAATCGATTTGAAATAATTGTCATTTGTGCAAGAAGAAGTATACAAAATTTTAATCCAAATATAAATGTTGTCAATAAAGTAGTAATTGATGAACTTAATAAATAAAAACCACAACCAATTTCGCATATAGATCTACTCTTGAATGTAATCAAAGATAAAATTCCATTGATTAATCCTACTACTATAAAGATTATCGATAATACAAAACTAATTTTTACAAGATTGGGTTGATTTACAAGATTAATATGTGGTTGAATATGATAACCTATAATAGCATCAAGTGATAAACCAAATCCAGTTGAACTAAATTGACATTGTGCTCCATAAAAACATGGTCGACAAATACACGTTGATCTTTCTGGACAATCTGGACTGTCTTGAAAACATTGACCTTGATTCTCACAAACACTTTGACCAAAACAATCAAATTTCATATTATGATCAAATTCAAAACAGTTTGCTAAACGTTGTTGTCTATAATCATAACATAAACAAATATAAACATCATCATAAAAACAAGAAAAATTTGATGAATATCTTTGACATGGTAAATGATAATATTTAATACGACGAAGAGCATGCATTTTAACAATAGTTTCATTAAATAATTCATTTATATGTAGACAACGATCTGATGGATTTATCATTGTATTAATTGTTGTTGATTGTTTAGAAGTTTTTTGAATGATAGCTAAATAATAAATTTTATTGTAAAGTTCAATAAAAACAAGATGAAATGGTCGTGACCGATAAATAATAAGTGAATTTTGTATAAAAGGAATTGTTCGAAACGTAGTCGTACGCTTTGGTTTATCATTATTAATAATTTCTATGAAATGAATAAATATCGATTGAGATAAAACAATATTATTATCAAATGATAAAATTATTTTATTATCAACTATTTCACATCGATCTCCCATATAACCTTTTGGACAAATACATTGAAATTTTTTATTTAATATCGTATAATCATCAGCAGGAATACATTTGCCATCATGTTGACATGTTAAATTATTGTTCATTTGACAAATTGTATCAATTAGAAGACATTGATAACCAAATTTATTAATTGGACAAACACATACAGATCGATTGTATGTAGATACACCAACATATATTGAATCAGATGAACAAGTACAAGTGTGTGGAATAGTACAATATCGTCCAGACCATCCTTGATTACATTGACAAAAACTAGCATTTTGTACATTATTTGAATATATAATACATTTACCATTAACACATGGAGAATTTGAACAACTTTGAATTTTTTCATTCTTTTGTGGAATACCAACTATAAATGCTAGACGATGAACAGGTAAAAATGGAAATGTTAGTTGAAATAATAAACTTCCTCGATAATTTAATGAAATTTTTTCATAGATATCAATATGTATTGCATAATTTTTTGTTGGATCTTTTGGTTGAGTTGCATAGAGTAGATAAATATTGAATTTAACTTTACAATCTCTGATCGATAAATAAGTAATTTGTTCATATGAATGAATTATTCTTTCATCACTATCATCGATAAGTGAAATAATTATTGCAAATATAGTTGACCAAGAATCTGAAAATGCTTGAAATCTAACAGTTAAACTTACTCGTTGATTTTGATATTGACATTGATCACCATAAAAGCTAGGTGGACAAAGACATGTATTTGTTGTTAAATTCGTTGCATCGTTTAACCAAACACGTAAATCAAAACCACGATGACATCTAGGTTTATGTTGATAAGATATTTGCATTATAGATGAACTTGAAAAGATTGAGTTTGTCACAATTTTCGTTTGATCTTGTAGAGTTTTGCTCATTTCATCCAATGAAAAATATTTATTTAGTTGTATACGCTTGTATTTTGTTGCTTGGCATAGAAACTGCTCGGCAGCAGAACGAACTGATGAATAAGGTGAAGCACAAATGCTCTCATATAAAGGAGTATTTGTTCGATTTTTTACACAAAATTGTTCATCTTCTCCATGGTCACAGTCTCGAATACCGTCGCATAGCGTCAACCAATCATTACATTGGTTAAATATTTTATTATCACAATAAAATTTGTATATAATATTTAGTCGATCAATTGTTTTACATACTATTGGCTCGTCAGTAGCACCAAGACAATCGATCTTGCCATCATTTGCTTTTTCAACAGGCAGACAGATAAGTTGATTTGTGTCAGGTGAAACGCATTTATGATGATCTTTAAAACAATTTAATGTTGAAGATAAATCACAACCAATTTCATCTTCACCATTCGGACAATGCCATATATCATCACAATGAGTATAAATATTATTACATGGCCATTGTTGACATTCTGTTTCATCTGTTTCATTTGTTCCTTCGATATTTATTGGAATCAGTTGTGTAAATCCATTACAAATACTTTGAAATGATATATTCTGTACAGCATAATTAATATCGAAATGTTCATCTTCACACCAATCAGAGTAATAAACAGGACAGTGACAATATCCATCTTGAACATACCAATGATGAAGATACTTGTTGGATATGTTGCATTTGAAATGATTTTTTAAAAATTTTGCCATATTAATACTATTGATTTGCATAATATCTTCATCATCTTTTTGAGGACAATCTAAATTGCCGTCCATAAAATGATTTACTGAGATACACTTCGACGAATTGACACACTGATACATATTTGTTCTATTACAAATTTCAGAAGTATAGTTAATAAATGTATTGTATTTCTTCAATTGATCGAATAATTGGTATAAAGATGGAAAATATTGCAGTGTCCATGAATAGAACGGGAAAAGATGCTGTCGTGACAAACTAGGACGGAAACACGTTCTATTCTTAAATAAAATCTTTGTCTGATCACTAAAATATTCATCATAACGAGAATTATTATAGCATACATAAGGAAATGTAAAATTTCCAGTTGCAAAAATCAATGAGTCATTTTTTGTATGTGCCATATAAATGTTACGAAAAAAAATTGGAAAATTGGGAATATAAAACATATCAGGACATGTGTTCTGAATAATCTTTAGACATGTTGACTTTTGACAAATCGTACTACAATATTTCTCATCTGAACTTGGTACCTTCAAGATGCATTTAAAAGCTGACCAACATTGTTCAGATGTTGAATTATCTTTGGTTGAATAGATTGCTTGCAATAGTAGATCTCCGCGTTGTCGCCAACAAGAAGTTGTCAAGAAAGTTGCTTGACATGTTCTTTCTTCACACTCAAATGACGGTTCATCTGTACTACACTTGCTAAGTTGGGAAGTAAGTACGAAAGGTTCGTCAGATCCGTCAACACAATCAGGAGTGTTAGAATCATCTCGAAAAAATGATTGTGGTATACATTGTCCATTAGTACATTGATATTCATTATCATTACATTGATTGATTTCAAGTTGCCAACAATGTTCTTCATCAAATTCACTATCAAGACAATCTAACTGTCCATTACAAATTTCACTCCAATCTAAACATGCAGGAAATGGACCACGATTACATTGTAAATGAGAATAACAAGTAAAATTAGTTGGATTATATTTATATGTATGATAATAATCATGAATAATTTCATATAAAGATAAATGATTTTGATTATAATAAATAATTTCATATTGACACGTAGAACCAAATCTTGGTAATGTACAATTATAGAAAATTTGTGTTTCCAAAGATTTATCATTGTATGTTGATAATTGATTTAAATAAAACTGATAACGTTCAACAATATTTATTGGTGCTAACCAAATGTATAATTGTTGACTTGTAATATTCTGTTTCAAAAGTTCAACAAAAGTAAATTTTGGAAAGATATTATTATTTTCGATATGGAATTTCGATGACAAATCATTCATACAATAAGATATAATTTCACGACTAACATTTGCTTTATCAATAGAAGCAGGAACACGTAAACAATTAAGTTGGAATAGAGTATTATTTTCACTCTCACTTATCCATTCTGTATAATGCAGATTGATTTGAGGTGTAGCAAAAATAAAATGTAACAGAATAAAATTCAATAGTAATCTCATACAAAACATTATCTCATAATGAATATAGTAATAACTATTTACAGTATTTATATGTATGTATACGTTATCGATCATTTTCTATTTTTCATTTATAAATGTCATGAAGATAAATGAACAAATTTGTGCGTGACTGCCTCTACGTATATAATTTTTAATAAAAATTTAAATAGTTATAATAGCTGATGGTTCTTCTTTATCATTAGTTATAAAAGTTTTATCTACGATAGATTTGACAAATTGAAAAAAAAATGTTCATGCAAACAAGCATTATTGATATAGATTTCTTACTATGATGATAGACGGATAGGAATTCAAAATGAATTCAAAAACAATGGTAATACAAGGAACTTGCCAGAAGTTCATAATCATTAGTATTAAAAAAGTATTTGCTTGGTAGTAAATTTAGAACTAAGGAAACAAAATAATCTTCGTTTCTCAACAACAGTTTTCTAATCTATTAAATGATGAATAGATGTGTGAGGCGTTTTTTTAAAATTTTCTTCGTTTCGAGAAATTTGAACATGAAATCAATATGAATAAAAGACATTTGAAGCCGCTTCAACGAATGTTCAACTTGAAGCCATTATTAATTGAGAAAAATTTTATTTCTCCATTCATGAGGTTCAATAATAAATGTTTTTATTTAAAAAGTCTTTGATAGATCCATCAAATATGCAGTACGCTTTGAATTATTCATCTGTGTTCCTGTAACAAATCAGAGTACAATTCAGAAATACAATGAATAGTTTGTTTGGTAGAAATAGAATTTTCATTCAGAACCATCGTCTGCTCAACAGCATTCGTGCTCAATATTGTTTTTTTAAGTTGTCAAACTGTGCGTGATTTTCTTAACAAATAAAGATAAATGTAAAAGTCAGTAATAATGATTCGATTATGATTAATTACAAAACGAATGATTGTCTCGATTATTATCTGTAATTCTATTTTCACGAAACATACTAATTAATTAGTTCAATTCCTTTCACTAGTTAGCTATTAGAAATAAAATTGTAACCATTACTCTCCTGATAAGTTAATATTTATATAAATAACCTATCCAAAATTATTCTCATAAATATATTTACATTTCAACGTACAGAAAAAGTATTAACTCATGGTTGTCCTGTGGTCTCTATAGGAACCATTTTATGAAAACTTGCTCCTCTTTAACGATGAGACTATTAGACATAGATTTTATATTAACTTAAAGCCTATCAATTGTACACTTTCAATGAACAATCGTGATCTAGTCTTTATCATAAAAATATGTTTTTTTTAATATTGCTCAATACATCATGTTATGACGAGCATTATAAACGTGTCATAAAAGAAAGACTTGTTTATTATAGTTTATGAATATTCTTTGGACTGTAATTCCTGATGTTTTCTTTTTGTTCTACCGTCATGCATTGATCATGGCGTATGTCCTACTTTTTCTTCTGTACATTTCAGTATATTTAAATCCATTGGCTTTTCTCTTGATTTGACTCAAGAAATGCAAAGTGTGACTTTGTTGTGCTGAACCCATTCATTTCGATGAGATGGTCGTGCATTTACATGAATCATATTATCGTTTCTTCAAATAAAAAAGAATAATATATGCGCATTAGATATTTAATATGTTGATATTTGACGAATTTGATTCAAAATTCTCATGTGTATATTTGAAGCGATAGAATTGATTTTATTGAGAGTATTGTTCTTCCTACTCATCACATTTAACTACAGGCAAGCAAGGGTATGGATATGAATTTAGATAAAGAAAAGACCCATACACACACCCACACATACCCTATGTTGACCTTATGACATACGTCAACAATCTAATACGTTAAGATTTACATTATTGACATCGATTTCAAAAAAATTTAGAAGACGTTGAAAAGCATTGAAAGCATGGTCACCATATTTGATGCGTAATTTAGCTGAAGGAAGAGTAGAACTATATATGGTATAGATTGACGAACATATGGTAAGGATAAAAACGATTACAACTGACATCTAAAAACCGAAATAGCTGTACATATTTCTACTAGTGCACAAATACATCACTAGATGGAGCGACTGTACTCATTTATGCAGAAATGATATATAGAGGAAAAAGAATAACTTAATCTTACACACTTGAAGGAACTTGTCTTAATTAATATTGCTGGTGAGAAAGTACCAAGTACAAAGGGAATTAAAGTTGAAGATGATATGAAAACTACATCTCGCAGAAGATGATCTGCAATAATTATCGGTGGATCTAGCAGCGCTCACTAAACTCACACTACTGGAAGTCGATGCAAACCTGAAGACGATGCCACTATTCATTAGCATGCTACCCATCCAGCGACTCCTTTTTTCACAATATTCAAGATTTTCAGTAATTCCGTCTGGTTTCTTTAAAAATCTCTATTCTCACCTAAGGGCTCTTTCGATCGATGTTTCTCATCCAAGTACCTTGGAACGACTCTCTGAATCAACGAATTGAAAAAATTTAACACTCTACACTGACGCATCATTGGAATTTTCAATGTCGCTGACTCACGTTTCTTCGCTACATGTCTTATTTTTACGAGGAATTTCGAATCAAATAGCGGCCCTTCCGCAGAATTTTTTATCATTTTCCATCTGGAACTTAGAACTTGGAGGCAATGCCTTCAACGAGATTCCATCGGTGCTATCAAATTGTTCGAAATTATCTGCGCTGAACTTGACAGACAATAAAATTACAAATGTATCTGCGATTCTCAGGAATATTTCGAATTTGACGTTTTTGAGTTTGTCAAGGAACTATATCGAGAGAATACCGTCGGAGATAATTTTCTTATCGAAAACATTAAATTATCTAAAACTTGCTCATAGTAAGCTTACAAGTGTGCCAGCTGAAGAGTTAGTGAATATGGAAAAATTGACATTCTTATGTACTAGAAAGAATCCGATATCGTCGGACGAGTTGGTGCGTCTTAACCATATTTTTTCGACTAAGCCGAGTCTCAAAGTTTATTACTAGATAACGTTTTTCTTTCACTTTGAACATAACCGAGTTGTTTTAGAGATATTTTTGAAAGAAAACTTTGTGAGACAAAAGTGTTCGTCTGATTTCTGAAGTTTCACAAACAGATTTATTATTTGTTTTGACCGAGTTAATCATACAATTCGATTTGATCGTTCAATGAATAAATGATTTTAGTTAAAAATGTTTATGTTCGAATATCTTTGATTGAATCGAATCAACTTGAAGCTGTTCCATTTGAGAACTCATTGTGGTTCAAAAAGTTTCGTCAATCAGTTTGAAGAGATTCACCTGAAAAGAAACAAGTTCCATAAATGATCGAATCTATTGGACGTATATACACAATTGTTCCTTCATTCGAATAAAAAACAAATCTGAAATTAATGTGAGGATGGGATGTGG